AGAACATCACTGTATGTTACGAGCAATGCAGTAGCTTTAACTCTAGATGCCAGAGCTGCCTTGAAACAGGAGCAGCCGCTGGATCTTAAACCATCCTAAAAACACCTCTTCAATATTCCGTCTCCTCTACTGCAGGAAAAAAGGTAAAGCACACAGGATTTGTGTGATTAAATACAGCTGTTGACATAATAATAATAATAAACCAAAACAACAAAATATAAAACCTTCCAGGTAGGACCTTTTCATTTGCCTACTCTGCTCATGAAATTCTTACTAAATGTACATGCCTCATTCTCCTAGGAATTTCTATTGCCTTATGGATTCACCTTTTCTTGCAGAGAACAGATAAACATGTATCCACAGTATGAATTTCCATGAAAACCTAGACAAATGCAATCACAAGATGTCCATCATGAAGATGTCTCCACTAGCTGGGACCCAGTAATCTTTAGACCTAACTTGATTCAGGCCCTCGTCTGTGGCACTGAGTCTCATGGTCTTTACACACTTCCACCTAGAGTTTCAAGTAAGTTGAAATACAGACATCTAATCTTACATGGGAAAGAACAGAGCTTTCCAGCCTGTGGGATGACATCTCAAAGGCACACGATCTACTTGCTGGAGTTGAGCTGATGTCCAAGGGGCGTCGGGGTCTCGGTGTCAGGCTTTCTTTTCCTCAGTGTCCTTGGCACAGCTACTGCCTGCCTGGCCTGCCCAGGCCCTAGAGGGTGGAGCGAATCTGCAGACCCAGCTGTGGCCCAGCAGGAGCTTGGGGCCCATGGGAAGACAGGCTGTCCCGGCAGGCAGTGCCCGAGAGGTGAGACGCAGCCATGCGGGGCAGAGTGTGGCATCGAGCTCCATGGACGCAGGCAGACGGAGAGTGGTAGGAAGGGCCTCGCACTGCCCACAGGAGGAGAGAACTTCACCAGGGAGTGGCCTCTGCTCAGGTCGAGAGTCCGTGGGGAAGTCAGCCAGGTGGAGGGAAGAAGGGAGCCCTGCAGGTGGGCGTGCTGGGACTGGAGACCGAGGGCCAGGGAGGTGCACTCCAGAGGGGTCGTGCAGGAGAGACGAGAGGAGCCTACAGGTGCCCAGGTAGTCAGGAGAGTCGTCCGTGCAGCCAGGAGGGCAGGGGGCAAACAAGAGGAAGTGCCAAGATGATGGGAAGGTCTGAGTGCTGGCGAATTTGGAAGCTGGGAATAATCAAAAGGAGAACACGGGCAGAGCCCACTCGGGGGCTGGGAGCCTGACAGGACTAGGCCCCCAAGGGTGGGGTGTGTTGCCTGGAGACAGAGCAAAGTGGAGACATATGAGGCCAGGGGGTGTCAATTTATTCTGGAGAGGATTTCGTAGCAAATGTTTAGGCTTTGGGAACTCTGCGATCGTTTTTGTGGCCACTTGGCTCTGCCCTGTACTATAGGAGCAACCGCAGCCTGCCCACCAAGCCCTGAGGGCAGCCAGGTGCCAATGACACTCTATCCATGGCATGGCAACGGAATTTCACATAGCTTTTATATATCAGAAAATATTATTTGTCATTTGTGTTTTTCTCCAATTCTTTAAAAACGTCAAAGCCATTCTTAGCTCACCATACAAAACGGGGGGGTGGGGCTGTGGCTTGGAGCTCCTGGGAGAGGGCAGGGCCCAGATGCCCCAGTGGATGCTCCGTCCTCCTCCCCGCAGCCCCTCCGTCACCCTGCATGGATTTCTATTTCCTACAGACAACGTGAAGCCCCTTCCTCAGAAGCCCCTGCGGCTTTCCCTGTTCTTCCTTCTCATGGGTCTCCGTCCTGGCCTCCAGACCACTGGCTGTGCTCACCATCCTGTGTGTTTCTCTACCTTTGTATGATTTCTGCTCAAACTCTATGATCTCATCTAAAGTTTGCCACTTTGGTAAAGCACATGCTAATCCTGCAGGCAGAGGGACTCCTCACTTCACTGGGCACCAGTGTGTGTTTCACTGTCTTGTGTATCCTGAGGGAAGGAATGATGGACTGACAGATGGGTAGGCAGACACACGGACACACAGACAGACACATAAACACAGATGGTCAGGTGGACAGCAAGCACTGGTGTGCTATGTCTGGAAGGATGCAGCTGGTGAAGTGAAGATTTTGTGAGTGGTCTGATCACAGCTGGTATGATTTAAGGGATGATTCTCCAAGGCTGCAGAGAAGGTCCTATGCTCTATTTCATTCTGTATCTGCATGGCCTTGACCTTTGGTTGCTAAGAGCTGTACTTTTCTCCCTTACAACAGAACCATTTCTTTGTCTCTTTTTAGAAGCAACAAGTCAATTCTTTGTGCACCTGAAGCAAGTATTGGCCAAGATTCACTGGAGGGCACCTGCAGGCAGCAGTCACTCTGCGGTCAGAATCTGCCACCCGGTGCCCAGGAGTGGGGCTGGACCCCCTCGGATCACACCCCAACAACAACCCTACCAGCCAGTCTTGTCCTAGTGGGCACTTTCCAGGATGCTTTTAAAATCTGTCAGATGAGTCTAGTGAAATGGAAACAGAGTGTCACTAAAAGCCCAGACTTCACATCCACACGATACATCTGCGTAACACTTGTGCCTCTAAAATCTATACAAATAAGCGGAGGGTCGGCTCATTTTCTCACTACATTGTGGTAAGAGGCTGCATTTCCTCTGCTCTGTTTTCCCGAAGCCCTAACACTGAGCTTTCAGCCTGTCTGCTCAATAGACAGCTTGTTTCCAGGGGGTCGGCTGCAAAGCATGGCTCAGCCTTAGTGTCCACAGCAGGGCCTCTGCCGGGCATGTGATGGTCAATGCCAGTAACTAACATGTGACGGTGCCACCGAGCGCATCCTCGCACCCGTCCCGTCTCGGCTGATCTTCACTGCAGCCTGGCGAGGTCAGCAGAGGACACTCCTGCTTCCTCTCTGCTCCCGAGGAAACCCATGCCGTGCTGGGCTAATTTGTCCAGTAGCATCCGGCTCCCAAGAACAGCACCGAGAATATGCTCAGTGGATTTGACTTCGGGTCCCCTCAAGGCACCGTGACCCTGAGACTGCTCTGCTGCTCACAGCTTCACCCAGAAGCCCCCTTTCCTTCTCAGGCTGGAGTCTAACCTTAACAATGAAGCTCAAGAAAGAAATCAGCCACACGGAACAAGAACAGCAAAAAACAGGTGCGTAAAAATGAACCTCTAATGAAAGAATGGATCAAATCCGGCAAATGTCAATGAATTGGAAATCATATAAACAGCCTTCAATTATGAGAACTTAATTTCTTTTGATTCTTCACTTGTAGATGAACAAATGAGATGATAAGAAACCTGAAATTATCACAAACCCAACAACAAACCAACAGAACTATTTCTGTTATACCCTACAGTCACTCCTTCTATCCATTTATGTCCGTGTTTCTGACCAATATATGATAGCTCCAAGAAATACTACATTTCATTCATTATACAAATAAATTGTTATTAAGGCAAGAAATACCATAGCTTAGAAAGATGTGCGGTCATTCCTGTAGAATGATAAAATGGTTTCTGAACTCCCAAGCATTCAGTTTAAATACTGTGTGAGCGTACTGTGATTTTAACTAAGTATCTTTTTCTTTGTTTTTGATCCAGTGTCTTGCTCTGTCCCCCAGGCTGGAGAGCAGCAGCACACTAGCTCAGCTCACTTCAACCTCTGCTTCCCAGGTTGAAGCGATTCTTGTGCCTCAACCTACTGAGCAGCTGGGGTTACAGGCATGAGCCACCATGCCCGGCTAATTTTTGTATTTTTAGTAGAAACGAGGTTTTGCCATGTTGGCCAGGCTGGTCTTGAACTCTTGACACCAAGTGATCCACCTGGCTCAGCCTCCCAAAGTGCTGGGATTACAGGCGTGAAACACTGCACCCTGCCCTAAATATCTTTTTCAAAGAAAAGCTTGATGACCTTTTTAAAAAAACTATTTCCTTCCCCTGTGCTAGAGAATATCATGACAAGATTTCTAAATCATCAGAACATTTACACCCCAAGTCCCAATTGGTAAAACTTGGCAATTACGTCTATACAGCCTAGAATTTAAAGCAGACACACAGTTAGATAAATAAAAAAATTAAATAAATACAGTCTTCCCCTCTAATGAAAACTACTTACCAACTAGCTTTGTAGTGAAATGGTAACTAGTTCACACTCTTGGTAGTGGTTCAAATAAGCATTGGTCAAAATAAACCACCCTTTTCCCGTGAAGCCCGTGGCCCTGCGTTTGCTGCATGAGCTCTATTTTGTTGGTGCCACGGCAGCCACAAGCCAGCAAGGAACAAAGCTCTGGCTCCGCCGGCAGCACCCAGGCTGGGCCTTGTTTTGCTCCATCGTCCCCAGTTACAGGGGGACCCAGGTCCTGGTCTTGCTGCGAAGAGGCTGGGTGACAAGGAGGCACTAGCTCTGGCTGCACGGGAATCACTGGTGAGCTTCTCAAAAATGTCATCGTGTCGTGCAGGGAGCCCTCCAGAGATTCTGATTTCACTGGTCATGAGGGCAGGTTGGGCATAAGAATTAAAAAAAAAAAATCTCCCCGGATGGTTCTCATGTGCATGCGAGGCTGAGAACACCAAGGAGATGGGTGCAGAGCTCCTCAAAGCTCCCGGGAGCCGAGGGCTGCCTGCTGGCTCCCCCTGCACTGTCTGCCTCAGGCATTTATTTAAAGGAAGCGTATTAAGATAAGGGTACTGTCTTCCCAGTACCACAAAAGACAACGAGCCAGTCCATCGCTTCTCCCTCTCCACATTCCACAAGCAGCCGAGTGCGCTGCCTCAGAATGACTGCGGGGAAACCATCACCTTCCTTCCCCTGAAGGTTTGCTCTCCTACAGCTGTGTGGACCTGGGGGGCTTTCAGCTCCTGGGCTGTGCTACGAACATCCTGTTCTTTTGGTACCCATCGAGTGACCACCACCGCTCAACTAACTTGTAGGACATTGATATACACAACAACATCATCATCAATGGCAACGTGTCTCTCATGTAGAAGAGTGTGCACCTCCTACCATCATCATATCCTTTGGGGGATATATCCCTGGTTTGCACCTTGGGAGCTATGGCTCGCTTGCCATAAGTATGGCTGTCGTAACTGTTGTATTCAAACGAGGTCTTGGAATATTTCTCGAGCTCCTTGGCCAGGTTGGAACGCGGCGTTGTTGTGGGGACATTGTTTCTGTAGCCATACTGAGGAATCTCCAGCTGCTTCACAAAGCACATTGGCCTGGAAGTGAACAAGACAACAAACAACAGCTTGCTTTCCTGTGGCTTTGCACACGACGAGCTTCACAGTAAAACTAGAATATCCTACTTTTTAAGATGGATTACCTTTCACTAAAACTACAACTTTTTTATTTTCTGAAGAAAAGACAAAGTGTGTTTTAATTACATAGCACCAGATAAAGTGCCTAAAAGTCAACTTTGGCAATAAAAAGGACAAGAAATAAAATCTTTAATATGTTCCTTTTCCTTCTTTCCTGTAAGAGCTCTGGTGGCATGGTGATGACATGAAATATGAGGATGGGGACAATCTCAGTCCTGAATTTTCTTTGCAGTGGTTACAAAGAGTTGCTGAATTATACACAAAGACGTTGCGTCAATAGGAAATTCCGCTTAAAAAGTAAGAGGAAGTAAAGAAATACTCTTAGGGACAGACTGAGACAGAATCAGATCAAAGTGTACCTAACTGGACAATGAGGTAGGCTAGGTGGTAATGCACCTTGTCAAGTACTAGACTATGCATTCAGTATTTTTACCTAGTAGTCATTTCTTATTGTCTTTGGAATAAAATGTTTAAAAGGAAGGACAGGCTGGGGTGCAGTGGCTCACGCTTGTAATCCCAGCACTTTGGGAGGATGAGGTGCACGGATCACGAGGTCAAGAGATCAAGACCATCCTGGCTAACACAGTGAAACCCTGTCTCTACTAAAACTACAAAAAATTAGCCAGGCATGGTGGCAGGTGCCTGTAGACCCAGCTACTGGGGAGGCTGAGGCAGGAGAATGGCAGGAACCCAGGAGGCGGAGCTTGCAGTGAGCCAAGATCGAGTCACTGCCCTCCAGCCTGGATGACAGAGCGAGACTCCGTCTCAAAATAAATAAATAAATAAATGAATAAATAAAAAAGGAAGGACACCAGGGCATTGCTCACTCATAGACATTGTGTCGCATGTGTGTGTGTGTGTGTGTATGTGTGTAGGTCCACCTCTTCATCTGTCTAGCTCATAAGTGAAGTTTTTAGATTTTATACTTAAAACAATTTTAGACTTGCAGAAAAGTTGTACAGAGGTTTTCTTTACACTCTGCCACCAACTTCCGCCAACGTGACCATCTTCATAACCATAAGACAAGAGCAAAACCCGGCGATTAACATTAGCATGGAGTTCTTTCCTAAACTAGAGGCTGTATTTGGATCTGACCAGTTTTTCCACTAATGTCCTTTTTCTGACACAACCATGCAGGGTCCCACAGTGCACTAAGGGTCCTGCGTTCTGTCCTCCATACTGACAGCTCCTCAGTCTCACTGGGCTCAAGGCTTCATGGTATGGACACTGAAGAACTGCTCAGATATAGACATGTCCTTTTTTTTATTCAGATAGTCTCGGTCTTGTGGCCTGGGCTGGAATGCAGTGGCGTGATCTCAGCTCACTGCAACCTCCGCCTCCTGGGTTCAAGCGATTCTCCTGCCTCAGCCTCCCGAGTAGCTGGGACTACATGCGTGCACCACCACCACGCCCAGCTAATATTTTTGTATTTTCAGTGGAGATGGGGTTTCACCGTGTTGACCAGGCTGGTCTCAAACTCCTGACCTCAAGTTATTCACCCTCATAGGCCTCCCAAAGTCCTGGGATTATAGGCATGAGCCACTGCGCCCGGCCATAGATGCATTCTTAATCATAACATCCTACAGTCTCATCGGCCATCTTTGTGTTTTTCTCAAGTGATTATCCTGCCTCAGCCTCCCAGGCAGCTGGGATTATATCATGAGCCACCACGCCTGGCTAATTTTTGTATTTTCAGTAGACACAGGGTTTTGCCAAGTTGGTCAGGCTGGTCTTGAACCCTTGGCATCAAGTGATCCATTTTCAAAAAAATAGAGACCTTTTCACATCAGCATCATTTTACACACTATAAAGCTAACAAAACAGTGAATTTTAAAGGCAGAGAGTTTCCTGTTGAATTTTTGGCATTCTAAACTATGTAAAATGTATTCCAACTAAAGACCCAACCAAGCAGGAAGAAACAAAAGGTGGTGAATTCATGTATTAGTGTGAGGTTCACAGTCAGCTTAGGAAGGACAGTCATTTTTTTTTAGATGTAGTTTCACTCTGTTGCCAGGTTGGAGTGCAATGGCACGGTCTCGGTTCAATGCAACCTCCACCTCCCGGGTTCAAGTGATTCTCCTGCCTCAGACTCCCAAGTAGTTGGGATTACAGGCTCCTGCCACCATGCCTAGCTAATTTTTCTATTTTTAGTAGAGACAGGGTTTCACCATGTTGGCCAGGCTGGTCTCCAATTCCTGACCTCAGGTGATCCACCCGCCTCGGCCTCTTGAAGTGCTGGGATTAGAGGCGTGAGCCACCACGCCTGGAGGAAGACAGTAATGTTTGAGTAAGATCCTATTTCTTGATTACTAGTATCAGTAAGATCTGCAAACATTGCCTGTACCTCTAGCGTGAATGTGAAATTTTAGCAGATGTATGAAAGCATGATATCAGCAAGTACAAATGTGTGCTGTTTAGGAAGGAAACTCTTTGGCAACAGACGTGCAGACGGTATATTCTGCTTGTTCTCCCTGGGGATGGAAACCTGAGGGGTTTTGATCTGTTCCTTTCCTAACTCATTTTCCACAAGTATTCTTGTGTGTCTGAATAAATATATTTTCTCTCGAGTCCTCACTCTCTTCCTAAAGGTGACGCACACAGGCACACCAAGATCAGCTATACTTGCCTTACAGATAACAGGTTTAAAACTATTGTCTTGCTTTTTAATGATTATTTTCATGATTATGTTTTGGTTTTTTATGATTCACTGAAAAAAATATTTAGAAGACACAAAGGCTATTTTTTAAAAAATTGCCTGTAGATCTTCAAGAGACAAAAACTTTTAAGGTTTTCGTGTATTTTTTATGATTGACTTCATGCATTTTATATTTACTTAAATCGTTAGAATCTTATGCTTTTACATATTTTATGTTTCCATTTTACATGATATTTAATTTTCCTTTTTGTTTCTCAGGCTTTAAAACAGTTCTTAATAGCAGAGTGATATTGAAATCAATGAATATTGTACTATTTAACTATTTTCCAACTTTTTGATTTTGTTGCTGTTATAAATTCTGACTTAATAGGCATCCATGTAGATAATCTCTCTTTACTCATTATTTCATAAATTTATATTGGTTTTGGTGCAGTTACAAAGTTTTGATTACTGGATTTTTTAAGAAAAGAAAGTCAGAATTTAGACTGTTTGATAGCCATATCTATACTTTTATAACAGTATTGGATATATATCCAATTATATATATATATAAATTGGATATTGGTTAAAAATCCAATTTATTTACCAAATCACCAATACATTTATTGTGATTTCATTAATTTAGCCGATTTACTTCTTGTCAAATCAATAAATCATGTAATAATTGATTGTCTATTGTTCTTGAGACATTTTCCCAGATAATATGACGGTGCATAAATGAATAAATCTTTAGGCCTTGCTTTAAAAGATGCTGGGGCAGGCCGGGCATGGTGGCTTATGCCTGTAATCCCAACACTTTGAGAGGCGGAGCCAGGAGGATCACTTAAGCCCAGGGGTTTGAGACTCACCAGAGCAATATAGGGAGACCCTATCTCTCCAAAAAACAAAAAAGTAAAAATAAAATTAAAAAAAAATTAGCCAGGCATGGTGGTGTGTGCCTATTATCCCAGCTACTCAGGAGGTTGAATGGGGAGGATCACTAGAGCCCAGGACATCAAGGCTGCAGTGAGTCATAATTGTGCCACTGTATTCTTGCCTGGGCAACAGAGTGAGACCCTATCTCTAAAATTTTTTTTTTAATTAAAAAAACACAAAAGACCATGGGTGATGTGATCATATTTCAAGGGTTCAAATGCTATGAGAATTCTGGAGAAGAGAGAACACTCCAGGCTATGGAATTCAGTTACGTTTGAATGGAGAAAGGGATGTTTGAAGTCAGTTTTACAGAATGGGTTGATTTTTAAGGTTAAGATCCGCGGGGCGGGGCTTGGGGGGTGGTAAGAAAGCATTTCAGGAAAAGAAACTCAGCGTCCAAAGGTGAGGAGGCAAAACATCAGAGTGGAGGCTGTTTGGACAAGGTGGTATTCACAATTACATGCACGCCTCGTCGGTCTCCAGCTGCTGTGAGCTTCTCCCTGAAATCCTCACTCCGTGCTGGCCCCCGGGAGCAGAGCAGCCCGTAGGTGGGCAGTGCAGTCACCTGGTGACTCAAGAACGGCCAGGTACTAGAGTTCTTCCAGATTCTTGGAGGTCTGGCCAAAGTAGGCTGAAGAAAATTATTGAAAGCCCTCAGCAAGAAATGTCTCCCTACCAACTTTCAAATTCTCCTTTGACTAATAACGATCCTTCTTGGATTACACAGCCCGCGGGTTGGTCTGTTTTATTGGGTGGGTGGGGGCGGTTTTCACGCTGCCAATGATTAGCTGTGGGCTGGTGGGGAGACGGAGGGTGGCCTATGGCTTGTTCAGCGTTTGGTCTTGCCATAGGGAAGATGGGTGCATTTCCCTGAAGGGGCGGTTCCCTGAGATGGGTGCTCTGGGGGCACTTCGGGCCGGGACCCCCAAACGCAGAAAACTCTGCACCACAATTTATTGGGGTGTTAACTCTTGATGGTCGTAGATGGTTTTGTTTTCTTATTTTTGCTTAAATATTTATAATTTTCTATAAAGATTTTAACTTTTCTATTTAAGGAGGAAGGGAGTTTAATGACTATGTTAGAAGCTTCTTGGGATGTTATGAAATAATACTCAAGAACAAAAAGTATATTCATATTGTTTGCTCAGTGATTTGTTCCAAGATATTTATCCTAAAGAAATAATTTACTTTTTTATTTTTTTGAGACAGGGTCTTGCTCTGTCATCTAGGCTACAGTACAGTGGTGAAATCACAGCTCACTGCAGCCTTAACCTCCTGGGCTCAAAGCAATCCTCCCACCTCTCAGCCTTCTGAGTAGCCAAAGGAGTAACGGAGGCAAAGTGCTGTATATATGAAAGAAATTTTTATTATTGCCCTCTCTTTAATAGTAAAAGCGGGAAACAGCCTGAATGCCTCAAAGTTAGAACCTAGTTTTGGCACTGGGGGTACGTCTGAACAGTAGAATATACGTACCTGTGAAGACGATAATTAGGATGATTACATGGAGACAAGGACGCGTGTTTCTGCAGTGATGTTGTGTGAAAAGGCAGGATATGTGGCAATTGTCATAGTTTTCACGTGGATGAGAATGTGAAGCAACACGTAAGAATGAAGGATGTATAGAAGGGCTGTGTGCATGGGGAGCTTGTCCTCCCAAAACTTAAATAAAACAGTGGTTTCAGGCGGACGATCTGTAACACTGTAACACTGATTGACCCACGGTAACATTCGGGTCTTTTAACATCTCTGCACTCTGGGTTTTCTCACTTGCCAAACGGAGGTGACAATACCTACCCCACCTACATCTCAGGGTGTTGGGCGTAACAGGAGGGAGCTCTGCCGGCTTTGCATGCGAGAGCTTCCACACGCATGCGCGGGGTGCTCATACCCCTAGCATTGTCAGAAACATCAGCACCCGCCTGCAGGTTGGTGCGAGGCCCTCTCCTCCAAATTATGAGAAAATTACCTTGGGCATCTCATTAATTTTCAAAGCTTCCCTTTCATCTAGCACTCAGACTCATGAAATACCAGGTCCAGAAACAAAATCAGAAACGATTTCCTCCAACTCTCTCATGTAAGTCATCACAATGAGTCCACAGACACCAGGGGGAGAATGACACCCTTGCCCTCATACAGCCTGGCCTGGAGTGAGGCGTCCCAGCCCCGGCTTTCAGCACGGCCCCACCCTCCCGTCCCAGTCCCTGCTGCTGTAAGGACATGCCCTGAGCAGGTGTCCCCAGCGCTCCGAGGTGTGGAGCGGACTGTGGATAGAGCTCACGGATGGACGGCGCACTCCTGCTGGGTACCTGAGCACGCGGTCCGAGGCCTGGCTGGACTTGGACACGTCACAGCTCTGGTGCTTTTCCTGTGCCTTGGCCAGTTTCTCTGCTGCAGCGATCGGGCATCCGGAGAGGCTGCAATCACAGAAAGCGGGTTGAATGGTCCCGCCTCAGACGCCTTCACAGGACACCAATCCTTCCTTAATACCAGGACCCTGATGCAGGTGGAGCTGTGGGGGAGGGGTGGTTTCCCAAGCCTGGCATGGGCAATCCTGATGGGTGGACTGGGAGAGGGGGAGGCAGTCATGTTTCTAGGTGCATGCTTTCTGCTTGTCTCCAGCAGAGAATGCTGGCGGCAGTGCTGTGTGAGGTGTGCTCAGTCCTTCCCAGTGAGAGCGTCCCAGCTCCATGCATTCGGGAGGACAGAGCTGGTGAAAACGGTAGACAGATTTCGTTCTGGAGAGCTCGCCATTTCTGGAGATGAAGAATTAATAGCTTGGGTAGGAGGAGTTTTTAAGCCCATGAATGGCAATGAACTGACTGTTACCAGAAGATGGAGCTCCAAGCTGATTTCCTAAATGCTACTGACTGTGGCCTCTGGGGGGCCTGTCTGACTTTAGCCCTTTGGTGTTCTCCACAAGCAGGGAAATGAAAGTGGAGAGGAAAGCAGAATGATTTCTAGGACTGCAATAAAATGTTTTGTGGAGCCAAATAGTTCAGGCTTCGTCTAGATGGAGGAGACAGCAGCTGGGCTCTTTTGTGTGCAGGCTCACTTTATGTGAAATCACTGTGCCTGCTCTGTGGGTGTCTCCATGCATATCTGCTCATATGCACAGACGCTCCCCCCATATATATGTCACACCCCAAAGACACGCCCGTGCTGAGGTTTGACGGAGGCCCTGACACTGTGGATGCTGCATCGAACAGCACACAGCCCACACCTCTCCAACCTGTCGATCATTTCCTGCTTCTGCAGATTAAACACCTGAATGTCTCTGGAGGGCACAGTGGTCATTTGTTTCGTTATAAATTTAACACAAAGAACCAGGTTTGCCAGTCAGACAAACAAAAATTAGAGTGAAGCTTATAGTAGTTTCCTTCTTTTAGATATAATTTTATGTGAACTCATAAAACCATAGACTGTCAGACAAACTTCAAAAGAATCACTTTTCGGCCTCTGGAAATAAAAAGTTATCAGATAAGAATGGAATATTATGGGCAGCTGAGTAGTTCTTATCAAGTCTGAACAGAACAGGAAAAGAGAACTGAAATCGTTCACAAACAAAAGAGTGATTTCGAGTACATTTGTTAGCGGGAGTCCAGAGTCTATTTCTCCAGCACCCCAGCCTCCCACAGACCCCCACCCAGCCTGCTAAACATCTGTAGGTTTTCTGAAGATGTCGGTACTTGTGATCTGGGGTTTCCGCAGAAGTCCAAGGGCAGTCAAGCCAAGCTACATGCTGTATAGGCTTGCTGCACTCCAGGCCATGTCCTGTCCAATGAGCACTAGGACAGCCTTGTCTTCACCCTGGAGGACAGCAAAGGCTTGGCCTCCTTCCTTCCAGCCATTGTAAATGGTCATGGTTTCCACTCCTGATACTATACCCTGCTACCATAAGGTGGGGGGGGGGCAACTAAAACCATCCAGTTTGCACCACAAGGGCGTGGAGTGCTTGCCACTCCCGCGCGTTATGTGGAGGTGCCTGTACTTGGGGAGCACCATGGGGAGCACCGTGTGGAGCACAGTCTGCCTCCCCGGGAAGGAGGAGGCATGGAGGGCAGCCGGCGCTCCGTCCCACACCAGTGCTGCACGTGGGTGCCTGCACTTGGGGAGCACTATGGGGAGCACCAAGTGGAGCAGGTGCCTGTATATGGGGAGCATCATGGGGAGCATCATGGGGAGCACCGTGTGGAGCACAGTCCGCCTCCCCGGGAAGAAGGAGGCATGGAGGGCAGCCGGCGCTCCCTCCCACACCAGTGCCGCACGTGTGGCTTACCTTCGGTGGGAGTTCCTGTTGCTGTTGACATGCCCGCGCCCCGTGCAGCCCGGAGTGGGGCACTTGAGGACACTTTCATGCATGGCAAGGACTTGACAGGGAGAGGCAAAGAGAAAACACAGTCAGGACACATGAAAATGCAGTCATTTAACAAAGGCCAGGTCGCTCATGACAGACAGTCCTACAAACGTTTGTGATGGGCATGGTCAGGAAAACACACGTGGGAGGAGAAAGAAGGTTGACTGGACCCTACAGACCCTACACGAAAGGCCAGAGAAAGAAGGTTGACTGGACCCTACGCTAAGGGCCTCACACGGCAGGGGCACTGGACCCGGGAGCCTGGGAGTTCAGAGAACACAGAACCGACTCTTTCCTGATGGGTTAGGGGAGCCAGGGCCTCGCAGACGTTACCCATGCATAAGCACAGAGTGTTGATTAGCCATAGAACAACACAGAGGCTGCGGATTTTAAAAACACCCCTGTGCTTTGGAAACACACAGCATTATGAATGTGTGGTGGGTAGATGAATACAGAACCACAAACCTCAATTTTAAATAAAATGAATTAAATAATCACGCTTCCTTTAGGAACCTAGTGCTTTATTATTCTTTAAATAGAATGAGCTAGAATGGTACGCGTTCTGCGTTTTTACGCTGTGAAATTAACAAGCGGGAGAGGCCGCACGGACTCCTCTTGTGGTGCAAGGGTGCTACTGGCCGGCTGGCTGCGGGGAGCTGCTTGAATTTTCCCAGCAGTGGTGTTAGACCTGACTTATTTGTGTCTTCCTTCTTTTCTGGTCCTTCGTGAACACTTCACTACTCTGGGTTCTGGGGGAAGGTTAGCAGGGACGAAGGGACCCCCCACACGGACCCCGTCTGCATGATGCTCTGCTCCTCTGAGCCTGCTGTCTCCAAACTCCAGGGCAATGGGGTGGCGGCTTTCCCTGACAGCAAGGTTTACCTGAGGCCAGGTGAACATGGAAGGTCTATTCAAAACAGATCTGCCTACCCTAGTTACGTAATTGTATTTTCTACACTTTTCCTCCTTCTCTAGAACAACGTCTCTCTTTCCCCTGCAGCCTGCTGGGCACTGAATCCCACGTCCACACGGTGTTGCTGTTTTCTGAGTCCACACCCCGTCTTCTTCCTGCCGGGCAGTCCCTTCCAAAGATTCTGCTTTGGTGTTAGCTTTATCACTCCCACAGCTCCTGGCTTGCCCTGGATGTGGTAGGTGCCTAGTAAGTGCTGTCAGAAAAATGAATGATCAAAGTGAGTCCACCTTTGGCTCATCTTGTGCTGGGACCTGGCTGGAGGGGGTCACAGGGGGCTCCTTTCTGAGAGAATCCCAGCACAGTTCCCTGCCCGCTTCCTCACCTGTCCCAGAGGAAGAAGTGCTGCCCCTCCCTTTCAGGGAGGCCTCTCCAGGAAGCACGTGTGCAGTCTTCCTTCCTGCAGGACATCCATCTGCCTACTTCATTCATTCCTTCTTCTTTACCATTTGTCCACCACCATGCGACAACAGCACACACATGCTTTCCTTCACACAGCTTTTCTCTGACATGCACCTGCACTCTCCTTTCCTTTTATGGTAAACTTTTCACACACAGTTTTCCCTGGGGATGGCGCACATGGGTCACTCTGACCTGAGGTCCCGATGGCAAATGGACCTTACCCCTGTCTCCTGCTGCGTGGGGATGCACACTCCCAGCCTCGTCCCTGAATCGTCCTGAGGTGGACTGTGCTTGCCATCCTTGGTCCACACTCTGCTGCTACTTCATCCATCTCAATCACATTTCTCAAACTTCTGCAGCATGTGCAGCTCCTATCCCTCTCTCCTCTTCTCACATCCGTCTCTTGGGGTCAACAAGAGGCTTTTACTCAAGAAACCCTGCTGGGCGCAGTGGCTTACACCTGTAATCCCAGCACTGAGGGAGGCTGAGGCGGGTGGATCACGAGGTCAGGAGTTCGAGACCAGCCTGACCAATGTGGTGGAACCCCGTCTCTACTAAAAATGCAAAAATTAGCCAGCCATGTTGGCATGCGCCTGTAATCCCTGCTACTCAGGAGGCTGAGGCAGGAGAATCACTTAAACCCTGGAGGCAGAGGGTGCAGTAAGCTGAGATTGCGCCATTGTACTCTAGCCTGGGCGACACAGTGAGACTCCGTCTAAAACACACACACGCAAAAACAAAAAACAAAAACAAAAACAAAAAACCCTATGACCCCCCTAGTTCTTCCTCTTGGACCTTGGTGGCACCCCGGGGATTGCCTTCCTACACGGGGCTTTATCAGAAACACCTTCCTCTCCTGGTTTTCTGTTTCTGATTTTCCTCCACCTGCCCTGTTTCTGTGCTTCATCTTACCATACATTCATGGCCAAACTTCCCATTTATGGGCCCTCCTTCATTCCCGCCTTATGCCTCCTCCCTAAGCAATTCCATTCTCAGTTTCCACGAATGCTGCTCCAAGGACGGTATCCAGGTAGCCACCTCTGCACCTGACCTCCCCAGGCCTCCAGAGCCACCTCCCCAAACCCTATGGAATATCATGCAGCTCCTCCAACTCAAGTGGGAAGAATACAAGTCCCAGTTTCTCCACCAAATGTGGCCCTGCTGCTCAGCTCTCTGTACAGATTATCAGCCCTGGCGTCCTTAAGTTCACCAATCCTTGGCTTCCTCTCGGTCTCCCCTCTTCTCTTAGTCCTCACGTGTGCTGTCCTCCACAGCCTGCCCGCCTATCTCCAGATGTTTTGTGAATCTGCCCCAGCATTTTTATTCCTACTACCACTGTCTTTTCCATGCCCTGATCTCTTGTGTGGACTTTTACAACAGCCTTTAGAAAATGCTGTGGGTTCCTCACCTCTCACACAGGACAGCTGGAGCATCACCTCAGGGCAGCCTTGGGGACTCTGGGAGTGCTTCTCCCTCCTGCCTAGACCATGCTGTGGAGTCCCCACTGTGCAGAGCCCCGGCATCATGCAGAGCCCCAGCCTCGTGCCCATGCCCTTCTCTCAGCCGGGCGGGGAGCTCTCTGCGGGCCAGTACGGTATCTCGGGCAATGGCGTGTCCTCGGTGGTCCTGACACAGTGTGCTGCTGGTTTCTTTATGGAATTTAGTTGGACAGAAATGATGATTAGGGGAAACTAGCCCAGAAAAAAAATAAAATTAAATTAAAAGCCTTCTATGGATGGAATTCTCTAATCATTTTAGTAAATGCTTGCAGTGTTATAAAGAATTGCACAGGAGCAAAGGCTGAGAAGCCTCCTCTGTATTGTCTGGCGTGCACCTGTGCGGCCCGTGGCAGAGCTGAGGCTCCCTGCCTCCGAGAGCGATCCGGCCCTGGGAGGCACCTGCAGCCGGCGTGATGGGCACCTTGCCAGTCCACACTCCACACTCCCGCTTCATTTAGGCCTGTACTGTGAAAACAGGGAGTCAGAAGAATTTTCCATCCATAAAAACGAGCTGATAATCTACCTTGAAGGTGAATATGTAGGTCTCAAAAACACATAAAGAAACTCTTTCTTCTTAAAACACTAGAGCTTGGTCTCCTGCCTCACTTTACAGATGAGGAAGATGAGGTATAGAGAGCTGCAAAGTGCTGGGTGTCACATCACGTGTTCAAATGGAAACCGGAACACCAAACCCAGGTTTCAGAGGAGACAGAGAGGTTTGGAGGTCAGACAGATACGGATTTACATCTTAGCCTGGAGCTTACTTGAGCAAGTTAGTACCTGCTCAGATTGGTTTAACAACATGTCGCACATCCTCAATTTGCCAGGTGTTGGCTAACCTCTGGAAAGAGAGGGTGCCAGAGTCTCCGACTCTCATCTTCCTCATCCGAATGAAAGGGTGGGTGTTGCCCTACAGTGTTGATTGGGGACTAGGTGAACTTGTGTTTGCTGTGTGCGAGCTGCGCCCTGGCACCAAGTGTGTGCTGGGTACATGGAAGCTGTTGTCAAACCATGCTATCTTCCTGCTCATGTAACACACGGGATTGGAGCCACTTGCTCTGATTTGTTTATTTTTACGGCTCTTCAGGCTTGTTCACAAGATGGTTACAAAAAACACAGGTTTGCTATTTTGAGGAGCCATTGGAAAACCTGGAGCCATAATCACATCTAAAGATCTTTCACTGGAAAACGTTCAGCAAAAACTTCCTAAGTCCCAAATGCTCCTGAGAACGTTTCTTTGTGCTGACAGGTTTTGCTCTCAAGTATCTCAAAGTTACCCGTTTTAATGGGGCAGTCCTCAAGAGGGCCTTGAAGTAATTAACTGGTCATCTTGTCGTCTCTCAAGCCATGTTATGACATGTTCCCCACTGGAAACTTGTCTTAGACAGTAAGGGAAACTCTTCCCATGCCACAGACTCAAAACCAGAACCTTAAACTCATATGCTAATTCCTGAGAATGTGCCTTTCCCTGAACCATCAATTCCAGCTGCAGTATTTAATTTATTGGCATACTTTACGTGCTGAAAGGATAAACAAAAAAGATGTATGTCATTTCAATTCTAAAAAAATTTAGCTATATTCATGGATTTATCCCACATGATCAGAACCTAATTAAAAAGAATGCTTAAGATCAAAACCCATCTGATTTCAACCTCCTTCCTTATTAAAGAACCTATAGTGTTGAAATGTCGAGACAACTATGACATGAGACAGACTTTACAGGTGAAATGCAATAAAACTTCAGATCTAAATATGCATTTGGATGATGTACAGAAATCCAGATATTTGGGCAAGAAATGTCTGTCTCAAGGCCTCGCTCCTCTGGGATTCCTGGCAGTTTCATACTGGAAGGGACGTCTTAGAGACCATCAGATTCAATTCTGTAATTATGAGAAAAGATGTCTGGAAGCCACCTGCCAGGGTCCCAGAGCAGGTCAGAGCTGAACTCGGGACTAGAACCCAGGCCTGTGCAGGAGCTCTGTTAGGGGAGGTGGGCTTCATGGTGCACCACTCTCCTGGGGCTGTGCCATTGGCACACCCACGAATCCTGGATCAGTTGCCCATCAAGTTAACTAGGGGCCTAGTTAAGTCAGGTCGCACCGAGCCGTACGATGGAGATGACGCCAGGTAAGAGGGATGACAGAGACAGAGTCACGGGTGTTTGCACCCCCAAGGGTAGCAGTGAGATGTGGACTTACTTTCTGGAGGGACCCTATCTTTGTGCGGGCATCCGGACAGGCTGCGGTGATGTGGGTACAGCCCAGTTACGTGGCCGGTTCCATCACACCCGGGGGTTGGACACTTGCTCTCTTTCTTTTCTGTTCTTGAGGGATCTAAAAGCGACAACAGGTGCCAAGAGAATAAATGTTTACCAATCAAAGACAAATGTGATTATTTCACAATCTGAAGGAACCTTGCTAAAGAAAGAAATAAAGCAGGTGTCATGGGGACAGGCTGTGACATCAGACTTTTGCTTAGATAGTTCTTTGGTTTTGGGTGACTTTTTTCAACCTCACACAGTATAACCATGAATCATAAAGTATTTTAATTTTTATTCTAAAGAAAAGAAAAGCCTACCCCTCACCTTAACCCTGATTCATTATTTTCCCGTGTGTTACATGATAAGCTGTGTTGCTCAAAGGAATCAACGTAAATCGTGATGAGACAGTGACCTTCTTAGAGAACGAAATTCTGTGCCATCAGCATTCAGCAATTTTCCGTGAAATTCAACCAGAGAGTGTCATTCCGTTCAAAACCTCTGTAGCTGAATTTCTTTCTTATTGAGTGCTCTGATCGCATACACTAGAAGCTGCAGGATTTTACTGGCATTGAAATTTGCTCTCTGGAGGTCAGGTGACACTGTTTCGTAGCACACCAATTCGGCGCTTTTCTGACAATAAACTGAACTCTCAGAAGGCACTGCAAGCAAATGACCAAAACGGTGGAAAGCCCACCTGACAGAGGTGACGGGTAACCAACATGTTTCAGAAGCCACGGGAGCAGCCTTTTGTTTTGATTTCTTCATCTGTACTTGGAACCAGAGGAAGGCTCGTAGAATGCCGTGCATGCATACACAAAATTAAGAAGTAATGGGTTTCTACAGCCCTGTCGGCTTCTCTGCAAGTACCAGTCAAGGGCAAATTAGGGCAGAGCTTTGGTTAAAAGATAAATTCAATACTAGAGGCCAAAAATGTAATGATATTGCTCACAAAATTATTTCTATATCCGGAATTGACTACAGTTCATAAATATGCAATATAATAACTTCAGAAAATATTTCTAAAGTAAAGCTCAGACCAAACAGTAAATCTAAGTGTGTGAAACACTGTATTTTTAGCCAGTTTTTGAAAACCAGTTGCTCAGATCACCAACAGATAGTGATCATTATTAGTCCAGAAATGCAATAGTTAAATTTTCTTTAGGGATTAGTTCTTTTTGATATTCCATGAATCAGGCCAATCATGATTGCTAGAAAGTACATGTTTTACTTTTGGTTAAGAATTCATTTTATATCAATAAAAAGCTGGATTTAGAATTTTTTGAACTTTTATGGACTTTTCATTCATTCGGGTGAACTTGAAATAGACAAAGGACTAGCAGGAGTAGACAAATGCCATCATGTTCATATAAAAACACTCCCCTTTTCTTTTTTAGCTAACATTGTATTCTGCACAATGTGCCTCTCCTGTGCTGGAAACTCTTAAGTCAGTTCTGGTGTTGAGGGAAATACCGTTTGTACAATCATCAGCTACTTTCCTACCATTATTTCAAGAAGAACTTTGAGAACAAATCTAAAATTACGTGGTTGTGGCTTCAGTTTCTAATTACATTACTGGAACTTCTCTTACACCTGCAAACAAAAGGCTGGCACCTTACTGCCTTTTCAGTAATTTCATCATAACATTGGTATAAATTACTGTAAATACAAATCACTACAAATATAAAGTAGTAAGTGCACAGTAACAGTTTCAAAAGAAATACTGACAATCATAAACTAGAGATAAGAGATTTTGAACTAGATGTAAATGGCTAGTGGCCGGTGCAAAAAAGTGTAAGGTGTGTTATCTATTATTCATCCTTAAGTGATCCTATTTTATCACGACACTTACGACTACCTAACAAAATATATGACTTCCCAGATTTCAAAAGTGCTGTGAAATTAAGTAGGGATTTGCATGAAAACATTGTGGCTCCAAAGCATTTCAGGTTTTGGAAGACGACAAGGGTATAGTCTCCTCTCGATGCATGAGGTCCTGGTTGAGGTGGGGTCATGCTATTGGCCTTCACCTTACCTCCCCTTGGTTTCTTTTCTCTTGCAATCTCAAAAGCAAACACACAAGCAAACACAAAATAACCAAGCAAGCAAAGGAACCAACACTTTAACCCAACACCTTGCAACAACTTATAGGAAAAAAAAAAAAAGGGTGCTGTTTAGCCTGCTCCCTTCACTCTGCTGGAGCAGGCGACTGGGTAGAAGACAGAGGAGGTCCATGATCCAGGCCTTTTGCATTAGCTCAAGATTTTGGAAATGTTGCTCGTTGATACTTTAAATCAGTTTGAGAAGATTGTGTAGAAATGAGAATACAAGTGTTCTCTTCGTATTTAATAAAATAACGGAGTGTCTGAAAATAGAGCCTGTTGACACGCTAGTGGTTGCAGGAATTCTCTGTTGGCTGGGTTGGTGAGATAGTACCACAATTTTTATTTTTATTTTATTTATTTATTTTGAGATGGAGTCTCACTCTGTACCCCAGGCTGGAGTTCAGTGGCATAATTTTGGCTCACTGCAAGCTCCGCCTCCCAGGTTCACGCCATTCTCCTGCCGCAGCCTCCCGAGTAGCTGGGACTACAGGCGCCCGCCACCACGCCCGGCTGATTTTTTGTATTTTTAGTAGAGACGGGGTTTCACCATATTAGCCAGGATGGTCTCCATCTCCTGACCTCGTGATCCACCCACACTATTTTTTAAGGGAGCCTCTTTGCTCCACTTTGTTGGCCTTGCTTGGCTGTATGTATTTTGTTCTGAATATAACTACAGACATCTTTGAAGGACATTTGGAATAGTGTGGAAGACACTGACAGATACGGAAATGAGCTTTGGTCAAAGAGGAAGGCCTGGAGCAGCTGGGAGAGATGGGAGTCAAGGCCTTCTGCTTGCAGGAAAGTCCAAATCTGCAACCTTTCCTCACTTCAGGGAAAAAGCATGTCTCAGTTTTTACTGTTCATTCCCACCTGACCCCCATTTACACAGAGGAAGCAAGCAGTTTGAATTCCATTTTCTTGCAAACAAAACAAAACAAAACAAACAACAACAAAACAAAGCGAGTCAAAATTTGCATAAAGCCGCTGAATTTAAAGAGACCAAGAAACCAAAGAAGCCACCGCAACACAGAATTTGCAAATCTCAATCAGCCTTCTCCTTTACACAGCATACCCTACATGACTTCATGCCAACACGCCATCCTCAGCTCTAGGATCCGGGATTCTAAAATGTAAGCCTAAAATATATTTGTCCAACTGAGCAATCACATGAAAGAAGACACTGTTTCTTCCCCCAAAATTAAAATGTTTCCTTCCTGTATGATTCTCAAAAATTCAACTAAAAATTTCTAATAATTTTAGCCCATCTTGTTAACAATGATAGCACTGTAATTTTAAACATAGATGCTGTGTTCCATAGTCTTTAAAATGTCCAAATCAGGCCTGAAGCCCTACTGAACTAGAGAATCTACTGATTCTCTTTCCTCTAAAAACAACCCCTTCGCTACATAACAACACTGCAACGGGCAAAGCTTCACCTTGCGACTGAAATGCTGTCTGTGCCCAGGCACCTGCTGAGAGCTCCTGAGCCTTGGCTAAGGTACCTCTACAGTTTGCATTTGGCTGTAGTGATGTCCAGCTTGCCGCTTAAGGTAGGTGCACACATTGAGAGGAGAATACACGTCTGTGCCACAGTGGGAAAAAGTGCAGTTTTTCTGATTGTTTGAAGTTTATACAGCAACTGATTTTCAAGTAAATTCCTGAGCCTCACTACTGGGTTCACAGTGAGGAAACTCAGGATGTGTCATGAATAGAATGTAGTAAAAACAGAAAAGGATCTTTGGGGTACTAACATAGAAGGATTTAATGAACTGCCAAATTTATGTTTTAAATTGCTTCTTACTGAGTTCTAAAAGAATATTGTGATGGAGATACCCACAAAGTCGAGGTTATGCATGAAGCTGAATTAGAACCTGCCTCATATTGAAAGTGGACACCGTCTTCTTTATAAACATGAAGACGATCATTCAGGTTGGAGATACATATATATATGATCTACTTACATACATATAGTATACATATATATATGTAAAGATAGCCAAATACATTGACATATGCAAACATGTGCCCACATATTTCATAAAAGAAAACTCAGCTCAAACTATCATATTGGATAGTTTTTGAGTGTTTTATAATAAACTAATATTTGAGAAAAGCGCCGTTTAACTGTTTCCACAACGGAATGGAATCAGTGAGGGGGGAATGAATATCCTAAAGAAATTGCTATTGATCTTAGCTGAGGCCACACCATGCCTTGCATAGCAAATGGTTTCCATTACCTTACTATCTTAAGATAATTAATGTGTAGTCACTGCCCTTATCTTACGTTATTGGTCATTCGGTTACTGTTCAATTTCTATCAGGGGTGTTTTCTATGAGGGCAGTTTCATCAATAACTGTCACCTGATGATAATTTTATAAATCATGATGCCACCTACCCAATCCAATTTATAAAATATGTGCTTTATCTCGGATTGACTAATTGTTACATAAACCCTTGCCACTCAACATAGATTGTGGTTCATTTATAACAGCACAGGCTTACCCTAATATTTTCTATCACGTGATGTGTCTGTGCTTTAACCCTGTCTTCCCAGGAATGCATTTCCCACTGAAATATCCTACTGTTCATCTGCTCTAATAATATGACGTTGAGCTGCTTTATGTATTTCTCAGACAAATATTTTATTTGCTTGTCAGAAACGTAATCACAAAATATCCTTCTGGAATCAACTCTAAGAATGTGCAGTAGAGACATAATTCAGTGTGAGTCATACTTTAACTGGAGACTACCACCAACATCCTTACCCTAGCTCATGTTTTCATGAGGCAACTTACGTTAGGTAGAAATATTACCTTTACCATAGTATGGCTTTTTGACATGGCTGTCACTGGATTTAGGCTTTCTGTCCTCCCCGGGAAGTTGTCTCGGAGACTGGTCCTCGTATGACCTCATATTGTCCCTCCTCCCGGCTTCCATGGCCATCTTCTCCCTCATGGCCTTTGCTCTTTCCGTTTCTAAAGCAATGGCTTTCTCCAGCAGGGTCAGGTTCCCCTTGGTCATGTCGAACACCTCTTCAGACCTGTCCGAATTCACGGAGGTGGTATCGTCGTCCCGCTCATGACACCCGTCCTCCTTCGCACAGCTGGCAAACACTCTCGACCGAGGGCTCAACTGCTCCTCCAGCCGCATGAGGTTCAGCATGTCCGAGTAGTTTCTGTCCGGCGTCCTTCCTGGGAAGTCCTCTTCTGGCCGGACGTGCTGACGGATGTTCATGTTCTGCTGCGGGTTCCTCTCCTGCGGGTTGGTCTCGCTGAGCTTCCTGGCCAGGTCGAAGCACTGATTCCTCAGACACTCCAGACTGCTCAGACACACCTCCTCATCGCTCTCCTCCACCATCTTTTCCATGAGTCCATTGTTCATGGGCTTCCCCAACATGACGTAATTCATATTTCTGCTATCTTGCTGCGACATGCTGTCTGCGTAACTTCTGTCATTCATGTTATCTGAGAGCACAACACCGTGTCCTTGGGCTAATAATTTAAGGGAGTCCACTGTTTCTCTAACAACGTCACTGTCTAAGTCTAAACTCAACTCACTTTTCCGACCCAGGTTTTCGTTTTTGTCACTATCGTCTTCCAGACTATTGGAGGTATTGCTGTTCATTTCGGATTCAGTCCTGGCCCGGTAGGCTGCGTCCTCGGCGATTTTGCCGAGGTTTAACAACGACTTGGCCACCAGTTCATCGTAATTGTCATATTCGTCATTATTGTTATCATCCTTTTCTGTGTCTTGCATTATTCGAGTATTGTGACAATTCATTTGATGGTCTTCTGCAAAGAAAATAAAAAAGACAAAAAAGAAAAGAAAAGGAAAAAGTGGCTAGAACTGGAAGCTTAGTTGCAACAGCATGGATAGCACGTTACCTGCAAGTCAAACCGTCTATCATCTCATAGAACCGTAAGTCCCATTTGCGGCTGGGTTGAAAAAGTTGACATAAAGGAAACGGATGTTGCTAAAAAGCAGAAGGCCATTTAAAATACTTGTTGTGAATTATTAATTTCTTTAATGGATCTTAAGATAAACCAGTCAGTGTGGCAAATACGATTTTAAAATATTAATTCTGTATTTTTCATACATTTTAAGAATCACTTATTTTCTCCATTGGCTTGCTTTATCTACAGCCTCGCCAGATGTGTATTAACTGTGCTCCTCACATTACTAGGCTTTCTAAGAGTTCATGAACTTTACTTGTTGCCAATTCTGAAGCAGATGTTTGCAGCAATTGCTTTTAAATGGTCTATTTTCACAGTGGTGTGTAGGCAACACAGAGGACAGCCTCAGGTTCCTGAGAAGTCAGGCAGGGGTGCCGGCTGCATTGGGAGCTCAGAATCATAAGCACACGTTGGGGCTGAATTAAGAGTTCTTTTGAATCCAATACCTTCCAGACAATTTATCATGATACACAGTGAAGCAATAGAAATTCCATAGTAAAAGTTTAGAAAGTAAACCTGATTCCTCTGACTGTGTCTCCACAGGTTTGAAAGTGAGAGAGAGAGAAAGCCAGCCAAAGGCCTGTAAAAGGCGGGGTTGAGGTGAGTTGGTACAACCACTGCACAGTGTTTGACCGCACAGGCAGAGCTGGCACATTCCTCCATCTCACAGCCTCAGGAAAAGCTTGGTGAGCGGGTATAATGTGTGAGTAAGTGTCATGCTTCATCTCAAAAAAGTATTTGGAAAAACTCTTTAAAAAAGACCATGTTAAAAATTACATAAAACCCTTATGTTTTATCTCAAACGTATTCTGTTTCACACTCAAAGAGTATCTGGGATTTGCACCTCTAATCACCATGCTAGGTCACTGCTCCTATGTACATTGCAAAATATGAGTAATAATCAAAGGGTTCCTAAATGCATCTGTACCCTTAGATTAGATGTCGTTAACCGCATGCCATTTTCCCATCTGTTCTTCGGTTTTGTGATAAAAAATCCAGAGTAAGAAGAATGCCTAAAGTTTATTAATGATTTAAAGAAATGAAGTATATCGACCTCTACAAAATACCAGTTCACTAAAAGCTGAGATGGGGGGCTCTGGTGCTTTCTCTACGGGTTTTATGCAGAAAAGGCTTTTGTTAGTGAAAAAAGACTTGGAGTTCAATATGTGAATAACAGAAAACAGCATCTTTGGTATCCCTGCTGAAGGAACAAATATTTAAGATCTGACACACCTTTCTAAACTTCAGCAAACCACATTCACCTTTTATTAGACATGGAGAATCACTACACTAATTGTGTGAAGCAAATATTGCCCTTCTTCTGGATAATTCCTATAAATCATCTTCTTTATTATAAAGATAAAAGTATTCCCCAAGAACAGCAAAAAGAGAGAAAATCGAACTAGTGAAAGTAATCAGAAACACTGTGGGAGTATTAATCTCCAACGTACCCCTTGCTATAGCCTAGTGTTTAAGCTTTTAGGACTTGAAGTCAATCCTGTTTTAATGAATATTTGGAAATATAAAAGTCATATTCTCCTCTCAATTTATGCACTTTGTTATATTCATGGGCTGTGATTAGAGACGTTTCCCCAGAATAACAAGCTGAGTTACCCTGCACAATAGCTAGGTTTTAACAGCCAGAATCACTGTGTCTATGAAGGCCCAGCCATGAGATGAAAGATAAGCTATGATTTGAAAACAAAAAAGCACAGGCCACATGTTGGAGCATTTTGAAAGTTGAGTCAAAGAAGATACCACAGTCAAGCAAGACACTATTTTCATGATGCTCTCCTACGTTTCCTTTATGGAACTCATTGTGTGGTCCTGAAGAATTTGGAAAAGAAGCAAGACCTTGAAAGTGGTGAACAAGAAAAGAAACAGCCTGTCTAATCCTCTTTGCTGCTTCTAAAGCCACAGAAAGCCTACAGGTGGAACGGGTCCCGGTTCGCATCTTATGAACTTCCTCACCTTCCTACAAATGTGTTATGTACAAGACTGGTCATTCTCCACATTCCAAATCTCAGGATTAGCGTCAATTTGTTTCCCTCTGCATTCTCCCTTCAGCAGCACATAGTTAAGAAGCACATCTCACCTTTTTGATAATCAGACACTTATCTGTTTCTCCACTCAATTCATAAGTTACCTTCCCCCAACAAAATTAAAACAAAAATGGACAAGCCTCTTCACGCAGGGTCTTAGCCGTGCTGATGTGTGAAGCTGAGAGCAGCCAAGGAGAAAGTCCCTGAACTGTCTGGAGGCCGGCAGAACGCAGACCACCTCCGATGCATCTCCAGCTTTATACTCTAATCACAAAGCACACTGAGGGCACGGTTCGTCCTCATACCAGACTGATATGGAGTTAGAAGTTCTACAGCCTGGTGCTCATCATGACTTGTGTGATGCTGAGGACCCAAGTCTCCAGGCCTTAATCTGCTCAGTGGGGATCGCAAAACTTCCTGGCCCTTCGTCGGATCTCCTACAAGAACCATGCCACAGGATATGCCTCCTAAAGACTGCAGTTTGCTCTCTTACCATTGGCCCCAGAGCCGACTCCTGGGGAGAGCAGCCCGTTGGTAGAAGAAATCTGGAAAAGGCAGTGGAAAGCGTATTGGCATCTGAGCACAGAGCCTGTCGTGTGCTTCCCCTCTTCTTCACCCCTTCTTCATCCTCCTGCTCAGTGTCATCTGAGCCTCTCCCAACAGCAGCAAATGTGGGGATGGCGGGTGAAGATGGCATGGGCAGCCTCAAAGCCTGGCAGGTGAATGGAACTTCTCAAGCTACCGGTCTTTAACTCTTTTAAAACATATGTGAAATGAAGTCAACTCCTAATTATGTGGGCTCGTGGAGGGGAACAGCCAGTCAATCATCAACAGGCAGGCTCTGAATCCCTGCTGGGCATCAGCCTCATCTGGAATTCAAAGTCGTTCACAATGAGCTTTTGGGATTCCCTCCCTGGGTGTGCACACTCCCTTTCAGGTATGCTTTTCTGAGGCTAATAATGAAATTAGTCACATGATGGGATGGGCTATGGGAACTAGATCAGAATTTTCTGCGCCAGTCTGGGGTTGAAAACGTGATGCAAATAATCCACAAAATGAACATTCCAACCTCAAAAATCAGGAGGCCACTTTACTAGGTTTTTTTTTTTTTTTTTTGAGATGGAGTCTCGCTCTGTCATGCAGGCTAGAGTGCAGTGGTGTGATCTGAACTCACTGCCACCTTTGCCTCCCGGGTTCAAGCAATTCTCATGCTTCAGCCTGCTGAGTAGCTGAGATTACAGGTGCACACCACCATGTAGAGAGAAGGTTTCGCCATGTTGGCCAGGCTGGTCTTGAACTTCTGACCTCAAGTGATCCTCCCGCCTCGGCCTTCCAAAGTGCTGTGATTATAGGCATGAGCCACTGCTACCGGCCTCCATTTTACTAGTTTCTATGTAGTGACTATCGCTCTATCAAATAGGGAGAATGTATGTTGTGATAAAAGAGCACTTTATCAGGAAATTATTTTAAAGGACAAGTTTATGTTCTAAGTAAAAGCACGTATTTAGATGGAGATTTAAAGAGAAGAGCAAGGCATTCTCAGCTCCCTTTTTTGTGGTTTTCTATTTTAAATCTGTCATTCAGCAAAGCCGCACAGCAACGGACTCTGAGCAGGAGCCTCCCGTCAGCGAGGGCCAGCCCGGGGCTGCCCACACAGAGTTACCGCACTGGTTTGGAAATCAGAGAAGAGCTGGCCCAACTATTCCAGGTGAAAAAACTGAGCCCAGAAAACAGAACCCATTCAGTGGCTGATCTCATGGGCCCTTCTACCTTCCTATCAGCCAATTATTCTACAAACCTAACTTGTGTTGTGTTACACATGAGACCTCAACTCCCCTGTGAGTGAGCTTTATGAAACGTTTTAGGGCTGAATTTTCTCTCTTTTGAGTCAGGTTGTTATAAACAATTTATGCTCCATAGTTACAATTAGAAAATGAAAACATCTTCGTAAACAAAAGAAATGTGGTTGCTGTGGGCCATTTATCCTCCACCGTCCTCACTAAGGTCTGGTAGAGTTAGAACTCTGGATTATAACTTTATATACAAGCCTTGGCTTCTTAGTGGTCTGTCCCTAAGATACACAACTTTTGATTTCTTCAGCATCTAGTCCTGATTGAACTACTGTTCTTTCTGGTCACTGACACAGGCCCCAGGCAAGCAAACGTACAACGGAATAGAAAACACAGAAGAAGCTGCAGGTGGGGACTGTACTCCAAAGCGAAAATCACCCTAGACTTCCCCGGGTCGGAGGAGACCTGGTCTGCAGTGAGTTTCAAATAATGAAGGACCATTACTTTCCATGGCATTACAGAGGTGGTGTTTTGTTACATAAATAAATCAATATCAAAATATTATCTTGACTTGTAAATACTGAAATATGACAATGTATTCATTCTAATGAAAAGATGATGGTGTTTTAATAGAAACTGCAATGATAAGGGAAAAAAGCCACATAAACCATCTATATATTTCTGTTTGTTTGAGACAGGGTCTGGGTCTGTTGCCCAGGCTGGAGTGCAGTGGCACAATCACAGCTCACTGCAGCCTCATTCCCCATGGCTCAAGTGGCCCTCCTGCCTCAGCTTTTGAGTAGCTGGGACTACAGTCATGCCTCACCATGCCTGGCTAAATTTTGTATTTTTTGTAGAGACAGAGTTTCACTGTGTTGCCCAGGCTGGTCTCAAAGCGATCTGCCTGCCTGGGCCTCCCAAAGTGCTAGAATTACAGGTGTGAGCCACTGCACCTGGTCATAAATGTTTCATATACCACATCCTTCTGTGCAGAGGACATGAAGTT